ACAGGTGTGCCAATGAATTTGGCTCAACTTCATTTTTTAATGGTAAAAATGAATATAGATTCTGTATTTCCTAAACCATAAGAGATACTACTCTCAAAGCTATTCTAAAGATTTCCCAAAAATTCCAGGGATAGGGAAGGTCCATAAATCCTACTATTAACAGAATGAGCTCCAAAATCTTGATTACTTTAAATTCATTACAAATGCACAGTTAGAAATGAGGAAGGTATTCAAAACAAACTTATCCAATCTAAACAAGTCTGTGTTGGTCTCCATCACTGAAAACCTCAATGTGATCTCAACCAAATAATCGGAATACACATTATCTCCAAGACAACCCATCAATGTACCTTTTTGGACTGCAAGTCTAAAATAATGAAATGATTCAGAAAATGTTTCTATTTCTTACAGCAAACCTGTTTCACACTTTCTTCTTTCGTACTTCATTTTAGCAAGTAAACTCATGGAAATAGCTATCAAATTTAGAAAGCTATACAAAAAAATTCCTACTCGTCCCTCATATGAGCACAAATACTTCATTTGACTCTAACCTTACTCCCACTTGGTCAAAATTGTTGCTAATCACAAAATACAAACTACACTACACCACAGAGGTAACAAATCACCAACAAATCTACCACAATTATTACTGGAACATATTTTGTCCCAACACTTCACTTTGTAGTTACCCATTCTCTCTAGTGTATTTCCTCAGTTCATTTAGGTTTATACTGAAAAACACATTTCCTGAACAAAAGTACAGTATCTTGCAATAGGGGAGAAATTTTTGGTACTATTATTATTCCAATGATCTCTCCAGAAATGAAGAAGTGAAACAAAAATGCAAAGCTAAATGATAGTGAAATAGTTAATATGCTTTCAGGGGAAAATTTTTAAAAAGCTGATACCTTTAGGTCATCTACTTGTATCATAGATAATCTGTGGAATTCATTTTTTCCCCGAGTAAATCCTGTATTATTTTACTCATCCAAGAGTAGTCCAGTCAGAATGTTAGAAATCTAAATTTTAAAATACAGTACTTATAAGGGCATATATCTTCCTTAACTTAGTAAAGCTGAGATTGTCAGCCACATGCTCTAACAGTGAAGAATCACCTGTAATTATCTTATCAATGTGCTATAAATGGCCTCTCCTAATGTGCTTGAAAGTAATCTTAAGTAAACATCACCCTTCAAATTATATTTACAAATGGTTAATTTGCTTAGCAACCTGTTTCCCCAAAAAATTCAATATTCAACAAAATCAGAATTAGATCAAATTTATTTTTTGATCTAAATTTGATCTAATTCTGATTTTGTTAAACAGTCACTGAAAATGTGAAAAAGAATCAGGAATATGACATCTATTGGATGTTGGGCAGGGGGGAAGGGAGAGGGGGGAGGAGGGGACGGGTATTTTCATACACAAAGAGTGCAATGCGCACCACCCGAAGGATGGACATATTTGAAACTCGGACTTAGGGTGGGGGGCAAGGGCAACATACATAACCTAAACATCTGTACCCCCATAATATGCTGAAATAAAAAAAAAAAAAAAAGAATCAGGAATATGATATGCTTACATTTATCTGCACACCATAAAATACAATAACCATTTTTCCAATAAAAAGCACAAAAAGCTCATATCAGACAGTGATAACACCATTCTGCAGAACAACCTAGGCAGATCCAAAATCAAGTTTATTTCTTGTGGTGATCTCAGTAAAAAAGAATTCCAAATATATCTTTAGTTTCTACAAAGAAGCAATTCGGTTCTTTACTTAGACCTCTAACCTTATACAACTTATTTCTCCCATCTAAATATAGCTGCTAACTATGCAAATTAAATATAGCTATTAGCTATGCAAATAAGTAGTTTGTTGGTTATTACTAATATATAATTCTCATGCTTTAAAAAAGTTGCTACGTTTCAAACAACTGCCTATTGAGTTTTAGGTTTCTTTTTTATTTTTAATCAAAAAGGAATACTTTAACAATATAAACTACACAGACATATCAAATTACATTAGTATTCACACCAACATAGAGTCCTTTATATAACAGGTTAATATACTTAGTACAGTCTTTAAAAAAAAAAAAAGTTGACTTTTTAAAATGAGCTCCCTCTGGTTCAGTTTGGTTTGTCTGGTAACCTACTCACTGACCCTCAGAAGATAATGAAAAATGTTCCCCAGTCAAGTACCATTTCCTTGTCCCCTTCCCAGTTAAATACCTTAGTCTACATATGCAGGTTAAGAGTTTAGGAACCATCCCTTATCAGAAATGTCTGGGACTAGAAGTGTTTCCAATTTCAGACTTTTTCAGATTTTGGAATATTTGCATTATATACCTACCAGTCCAGCATCCCAAATCCAAAAATTCAAAATCTGAAATGCTCCATTCCTTTGAGTGCCATTTCAGCACTCAAAAAGTTTTAGATTTTAGAGCATTTCAGATTTTGTATTTGGGATGCTCAACTGATAAGAAAAATTAGTGTTTCTCAAAATTCAATTTATACTACTACATTTAGTGAAAATTACTAGACTTTAAGTCAGAAGACCTGCATTCAACTCCTGATTCCACCATCTATTAGTTATACAACTAGTAGCACATGACCCATCTAAGAGGGGGAATATCATTCTAATCCACCTTCCTCATAGACCTTCAAGACCTATAGCTCACAACGTTTTGAGGAGCAAATTTTTAAAATGTGTAGTGGCAAGTGTAAGACAATCACTCAAGTTTGTATTAAACATGAACCAAAAAAAAAAAAAACCCTACTTACAAGTTTTGTTAGAAATTTCTTAAATTTCCTTAATTCGCACAAAAGTAGAAGCAATACCAAAATATAACACAAACACTGCAAAAAATAACATAGCAAAAAGATAGGAAAAAAACTCACACCTTCCCAAAATAAAAAAATGTATTCTAAATTAACAAATTCTAAGACACTAAGGGACTACATCCCAGATGAAGAATGGTTTCAATTTTAATCAAATCTTAGCCTATTCAGTTTCAGTTAAATAAATTGAACCATTATCTTTTTTTTAACCTTTATCATGGTTCTCAGATTTTTTTCACATCAACAGAGCAAGAATATTAGGCAAAGTAGTTTATCTCAAAAATATTTACAGAGTAACAAAAATTAGAGCAACAATATTTGGCAAATAATGTGGCCACCTATAGACATATAAAAGTGAGTCCCCTAATTAGCTTGGGGGCACGATATCATAGATATCAAAAGAGGCATTCTGCATTTTGAAAATATAGTTACTCTCTGAACACAAACTTTAGCATAGAACAAATACAGTTGTAAGCAAGTTCCACACTTGAAGTCAATCATTTAAAAATCAATTTATAACTGCACCTGAAGAATATAAACTTATCTAGCAGCCACTGACAAGGAATTTGTAAGTGTTGACCTTTTGCAAGCAACAAGCAGCAAACTACCTTAAATAAAAATCTAAAATTATTATCTTCACTGGGCTTCAAAAGCAAACCACTGTCTTAATACTACACTGTTTACTAAATTCCCCTCAAAACCCTGAAGGCACAGGATACCAAATCTTAGGTTCTAGTCTAAGCTCTAACTTCGCTGTGAATAACTGTCATTTAATATGTTTCATTCATTTCTTCTGTAAAAAATAAAGGGCAGAGGCCGGCCGCGGTGGCTCACGCCTGTAATCCTAGCACTCTGGGAGGTCAAAGCGGGCGGATCACTCAAGGTCAGGAGTTCGAGACCAGCCTGAGCAAGAGCGAGACCCCCGTCTCTACTAAAAATAGAAAGAAATTATCTGGACAACTAAAATATATATATAGAAAAAATTAGCCGGGCATGGTGGCGCATGCCTGTAGTCCCAGCTACTCGGGAGGCTGAGGCAGGAGGATCGCTTGAGCCCAGGAGTTTGAGGTTGCTGTGAGCTAGGCTGACGCCACGGCACTCACTCTAGCCAGGGCAACGAGACTCTGTCTCAAAAAAAAAACAAAAAAAAGAAATAAACGGCAGAGATAGTTCAAGAAATCAAAACAAGGAGAAAAATTAAAAGTTCCTAAATGAAACATAACCAACCTCTGGTTATAAGAATTAAATAAAATTATACATGTAAAATTGTTCAAGAGCAATGCTTGCCACATTTTAAACACTTAGTAATTGTTAGGTATTGTTATTATACGTCGATTTTAATCAAGTAGAGAAATATACAAAATAACTAGATCAGCAAACTGAATATTTAATAACCCAAATCTTGTCCATTATCTAGGGCATTCAAAGTCTTAGAATGAAGACATTAGTTTAGCCTACCATATAATGCAGTGGGAAAAATAATAAGTTTAAGAATTCTTTGCGAATAGATTTTTATACTAACATTTCATTAGTCTAAAATAAACTTTTTATTCTAGCTCTAGTCATAATTTTTAAAAATCATTCCTTCCTTTAAAAAAAACTCTTGCTTACTAGAATCACAAATTCTTCAGATAAATGTCTTTTCCACCTGTTTCAACATTCATCAAGCATGAATATCCAAGCATAGAAACAATATCAGTATCATAGGTTTATCTTTGAAAAATGCTATTTGGAGCCCACCACAAGAATTGTTTTAACTAGGCATTATATCATTTGCAATGGAGATAATACCGATGTGCAAATTATCTTGAGTCCTAGAAAAACAACAGATTTAGTCATCAAGAAGCAGGTTGTCTAAAAAAGAAAGAGGACATGACTTGAGAAAGCAACCCCAACTCCTTCAGAGAGATCAGAGATTCCCATTCTTTATCTGTAAAATGGGAATAATCCTACTCTCACAAGGTTATTTCGAAGGTCAAATAAGAAAATAGGAAAGCACTTTATAGCCTAAAAATTGCAACATATTATACTGATCACTATTTTTTGTTGTTATTGCATGAGTAATATGTTTCTTAACAACACACAAGTTATAAAGAACTTTGATTTCAAAGTAAACCATCACCATTATTCAAAATCGCTATTTAGAAAAACAAACTTGCCTTGGATTGATTTCTCTTTCCATTTCTCATGCTAAATTTCTCCTTCATTTCTTCCAAAATTATCTTCAGTTTCTTTTCTTCAGGTGTCCCTAAATATTTTTGGTTCACATGAAGATAGCAATGCCATTTGGCTGATTCAAAGCCCCAGTGGCAAGTTCTTTTGTCAGGCGATCTGTGAGAATGCATTACAAATGTTTGGGGTGCAAACATTCCACAGCACTCCAGACACTGAATACATGGAGCATCAGGCTGAACATAAAATTGGGGTGCAAACAGACCCTGACATTTGCCCAAGCATTCATGTTCCACTTCAAAGGCACTACCAGTTTCCTTTAATTGGGCCAGTGAGTTTTTAGCAGGAAGTATGCTACCATTTTGAGGAAAAGTTCGTGGCCGCAATAAAGCATTACATAATCTTTGTGCATCAGTTAATGTAATCAGCCCACAGGACGGGGCATTGAATGGGAGTATTCCCAGGACCTTTAAGATATGAAGCTGGTCTGAAGTACACCTTGAACAATATATGTACAATTCATCACACACTGTATTTATTTGCTGGAGTGAAAATTCTCGGAGAACAGAATTTAAGACTTGGGGCAAACAGAGTCTCTTTTCTCCTCCAACTTGAAAACAAGAAATAGATTCCCCTTCCAACACAGTCTGCGTGAGTTCTGTGGAGCTATCGGAAGGAATGAGCAGTGGGCCAGGAAGAACCTGAGGAGATGGAAGAGGCAGAAATACAGTAGGTGACATGCTTTCTTGGGAATAGCGAGCGGAAAATGCTGCTGGGCCACCCAGAGAGCTCTGACTACTTAAATGGAATTGTGCCAAAGTGTGTTTCAAACTTGGATTTAAATTTAAAGGTTCAGGCACAGAAGCACAGGTTCGCTTGACATGCTCTCCATCAGTTTCCATTGGCACTTCTCCATAGTCATCCAAGTGTTCCTTCTTAACTATTGGCACCTTGTTTATCATTTTTCCATTTGCATGAATGTCTGTCATCATTTTCTTCGCTGGAGGGCTGCCATCATCTCCCATCCCATTCAGTTTTTTATTTGAGCCCTGAACCAAGGAGAAATTAGTCTGTAGGTTTTCCATTGCTTCGCTATTCTGTTAAATAATTAAGCCTGAGATTTGCATTTTTATTCAGTTGCTTATTTGAAGAGAGAAAAGTAATGTATACAAATTACGGTAACTTACTCTCACAGAAAATTTAAATTTCCAAAGAGAGATCTCCTTACTCAATAGATTTTGCAACTTTGTTTCGGTTCTGTTTATAATCTACTATAATTCCACTACAAACGCTATAAAATTTCTTGTTTTGTCTCTAATTATAAAGAATATAATTTTCAGAGGCACACCTCTGAGGAAGCTTTTGTCTTCTTGAATTCTTCAGCTATATGTATTAAAATAAAGTTACCAATTTCTCAATTCAAGATGTCCAAGTTCAATGTAATGATTTGATTTGTTTTAAGCAAAACACGTGGAAAGTTTATGCCATTACTTGTGTCTAGACTCAAGCACAAGTGAAAATGATGCAACCAAATCTAATTTTTGCCACCAAGGACACCAAAATTGGGGGCAGAGGGAGTATCTCCTCTAAAAATGATGGTCTCTTGGTCTGTGTTGAAAAACTGAATACTTGTATAAATCCTCACACCAGTAAGAACAGCCTCCGACTCCTCTTGACCTTCTACAACCAACAATAATACTTAACAAAAAACTGCCCAGTTATCTTCAAGGATTATAGTTCATTCTTCTTTTAAATAATCTGGAAGAAGAGAAGGGGGTGGGGAAGAGTTACATTTGAATCTGCTCCAGAGGCCAAAGGGTCAGTTTGAAACCAGTTTCTTAATTTTAAACTGAGTTCACTTTACCAAAGGTGACACTTGAGTCATTTCTTTAAATCTAACACCAGTTTACTAGAATGTTCATTTAAATAGGGAAGCAATTTGGAAGGTGGGTAAAGGGAGCAATGATATCCCTCAAAAAGAAGGCTATTTGAATTCAGAATATGAAGGCCCTTAAACAGATCATCTCATCCAAAACTCAGTACCAGAACCTTTCTCGGCTATGCCATTTTAAGTAAAAAGTAATCCATTACTTCATTTCCTAATTTTTAAAAAAACGCCAGTTTATCAAAAAAAAAAAAAATCAGAGTTAACGAGTTAACTCATCTACCATATGTAACTAAGTTACAATTTTAAGTGCATTAATTAATCTAGTCAGTGTACGATATTTTTCTGGAATGACTGTAGGCAAAAATTAACTTTCCCTTTAAAAGGTTAGCGATTTTGCTTAATGGAAGCCAAAAGCTATAGACTCAACGCCTGGGAATCTCCATCCATGAACAAGACTAATCCGGGACAAAAAGCACAAGGCAGCCAAATCTCACAAAGAATGCAAATGGAGGAAGAGTGGAAAAGATTCTTCTTCCACTTCCTTCTTGAGAGAAAACCCAAAAGAAATCCAACAAATACAAATTTTTGCTTCCCAACCTCTTAGTAATTTACCTTAAAACAGACCTAAAGGATCTAGGACCAACGCCACTAGCCATCGTACTGACTCGCCCACCACAGGAACACCTCAGTCAGCGCAGGCCAAGGAAGAGGGCAGGAGGCAATAACCTAGAATGGGGGAGCCCCTAAAACCCTAAACTTCTCCGCCCACGAAAAGCCACCCACCCATCTCTAACCCGAAGAGGAAGAGCACAAGGGACCCGGGAAGCCTGGGGGTGTGCAAGGAGGTGGAGGGAAGGAGGAGTCCCCCAACCCCCACCCGCGAGCTTGGGATAACCCCAAGTGCCCTCCCAACACCGCCCCACTGCGGGGGCCGCGGGGAGGACTGTGGAAATCCCCCGCGCACCCTCTCCTTGGGAAGTTCTCGGGTGTTACCCCAGCGCCCCTACGGCGGAACCTCCCCTCCACCCGCCCCGGGCCAAAACGAAGAGGGGACCGCAGGCAGACCGAGCGCCAAGCCCGGAACACCGCGCCGCCGGGCGCTGACCCACCGGGTCGAGCCCTGGGCATCCCCGCGGAGCGCTGATGGACGGGGGGAGGGCGGCGGCGACGGTCCTCCCGGTCTCCGGGGTCCCGGCCGCTCCGGTCAAGTGTAGCGCCCTTGCCCAGCCCGCGCCCACCGCCTAGGGTCAGCGAGGCGTGATCTGCCGCGGGACACGCGCCCTGCGCCCCTCACTGTCCCCGACCCCACCCGGGACCCGCGCATCTGGACCCCCAACCCGGGCCTCGGCGCCCGGGGAAGCTCGAGCTTTGTTAACTCCCTACCACCCCCGTCGCCGCCGTCCGGCTCCCCGGAGGCCGCGTGCCCCTAGCCTCCCGCCACCTACCCCCCGCGAGCCGGGGCCGCACCTGTGCCCGCCGCCGCCGTCGCCGCTCGCCCGCTCCCTTCGGCTGTGCCGGCGCCGCTCCGAACCCCACACACATCGCTACACACAGCCCTCTGACGTCACCGAGCCCTCGGCCCGCCCACGTCACTGCGGAGACACACGGCTTCCCGCAGACGCCGCCGCCGTCTCCGGCCGCCCGGGGGAGAGCGAGGGCGGCGGGGAGGGGGAGGGGAGGGGAACCGAGCCAGCGGCGGGACCGCGCGCGCGGGCCTGCCGGCGTCGCCGCTGTCGCCTGCTCGACGCTCCCAGCCCTCTCGGGGACGCGCGCGCCGTCTGGCCTATTGTGGCTCCTCAGGGCTCCCCCCGCCCTGTCGTCTCGCGCGCGCCCCTCCCCCCAGGCGCGCGCCCGGCGCTCCTGGCCCCGCGCGCCGTCTGGGCGGCTGGCGCGCGGCGCTGTCTGCGGTGCACCCGGCGCAGACAGGATGTTCCCTCCCTGCCCCACCCCCACCGCCACCCTCCCTCCTTCCTTCCTCGAGTCGCCCAGCCGGCTGTCTGGGGCCGCCAACTCCCCGTCCCCGCCCCACCCGCTGCTGTGTGGTGAAGGGCCAGACCCGGGGGCGCCCAGGCCGCTTGGCCGCTGCGCTACTGGGAGAGAGGGGGGTAGGGCAGCCGCGCGGTGCACTGTGCGCGACCCCAGCAGCCGGCAGGGCGGAGGCAGGGCCGGGCTGGCAGAGCGCCAGCGCAAGAGGTCAGGCACGGGCGACCCTCCCCCCGCGGGGCCGCAGCTGGGCCGCCCCGCCCCGGGGGCAGCCGGACTGCGGCCGCCGTGCGGGGCCCCAGGTGCTGGGCCGGCTCCCCGAGGCCAGCCACTCAGACGCTCCCCGCCCCCGCGGGACCTCCCGCCTGGGTTGCCCCTCGCCCCAGCGGGGCCTCCCGCCTGCGGGCCGCCCCGCCAGCTGCCGGCGCAGCGCTCCGCCCCGCCCGGGCGGCCTCCACCCAGACGCCTTCCCCTGGCTGACCTCCATCCACCATCCGGCCGGGCGGGAGGGGTGGCCAAAGTTCCAGCAAACCGAGAGAAAACATTTCTGTCCCTACTTCTCCACCTTCCACCGCCACCCCACCAGACTGCTCTCTCGGTTCCAAAAGGGAGCTATAAACTGCATGTTTTTACAGTGTCTAGTGAGGGGTCCTTTTCTCTCTCCTTTAAAAATTTTATTTTTTTATTTTATTTATTTTTTTGGAGAGAAATGAGACGAGGTGGGGAAAGATACTACTTAGCGTTTCGGCTGTGACCCTCTGGAGCGGGTAGGTGGGCTCTTCTTGGTTGTCAGGTTAGCCAGTTAGCATATTGAACTGTGCGGAGCTGCTCCATCATATTTTGACACAAGAAATCCCCTTTTCTCCATCCCAGCGCAAGATCAGGAACTGAAATAGTCCACCGAGTAGCAGTGCACAAAATTCAGGAGACTCGAGCTTTATCTCTTTTTTTCTTTTCGCCCATTTTCATTCCCATTTCTCCTAGTTTTACTGCTTTGGGTTGCTCGTATGGGGGTTCACATTTGGAGTCGGCCAAATGGAAATACTCTCGTGCTGGTAGATTGTTCCCCCCTCTTTTGCGCACAACAGGCCTACCAAAGGCTCACAAGCGTCTCCATCCCCGCCACCCCCCAACCCCCAACCCCGCCTAAGTTCCCTTCCTTAAGCCCCCATCGCTGTGCTCCCAGGTCGTGCCCCCTCCCCCACCCCCACCTTTTCTTCCTTCTTGACTGCCTCCTTTTCTGAACATGAATAATTCCACAGCACTTCCCATCTGTTATTGCCATAGAGACAGAAGCTCGGCAAAGATAATGATGTTCTGTGCAGAGCCAGTGGGGGAAGAACAGCATCTGCGAGTCTGGGGGGGATAGATTTTCTAACTGCGAGAATATTCAGAAGGCCTGGCTGAAAATCTGATGTGGAAGACTGGACAGTCCTGAGACTTGGCACCGGGTCAACTCTTGGCACCTGGCTCGTGTGTCTAGCGAGAAGAAATTTTTAGAAACCAAGATGACTGACTTAGAAAAAATTAGTGATTCAGAAACTGCTATTAATAATGAATATTTAGTATTTTATCAGCTATAAGAATAATTGCTAGCATGTCCAAAGGCCTAAGGACCAAAATAAATTGGACAGTAAATAAGACTTTTGAGGAATCAAAACACGTTATTCCCCTCTCTTATTCTTTTGATTTGCTTTCCTCAGGAATCTGTTTTTCAGGGAAGGATCTTTCCTGTCTGTAATTTTATGTACAATTGTTTGAGAAATAGTGACTGGCAAATGTGGCTAGAACCGATCGTTTGAGGACATTTTTTTCCCATTATTGGTCAAAGTATGAAATGTTTCCAATTAAAATTCCCTTTACTCTTAAACTCCCAGGTCTTGACCTCCAAGGTACAAGTTTGAAAGCAAGTGGAAAAAACTGAGCAGGGTACATTTATATAGATCTAATTAATGCATATGGGGAAGCTCACACTAAGCCACATTTTTGAAGGGCTACTTAAGGATTTTCAGAAATTATCAGTAAAATTGATTGTATAGTATGAAATTTAAAGCACTGAGTACAAATGATAATGGTTCTTTATCCCAGAAACAAAATTGGACAGAAAATACAGGCCTTAGAAAAAATAAGTACAGTGAGGTAATGAGTGTTATAATTCCACATGCTGATGGTCTTCCTCAGTATTGAAAGTCAATTTAAGTATTTGGCCAGTAAATAGCTGTTTACTGGTGGATTTTGAATGGCCTCCCACCTCACCTTCTTGGCTGCCAGCAGGAGCTGAGCAAGACCACCATGAGAGTGTGCCGGTGTGTGCATAAGAATTCCAAAAGATTGGGGGCCGGGGCTACCCATTGTTTCATCTTTTTCCTTTAAGTAGTGCAGATAGAAGATCCAAATTAACTGTTACTAGATAGTCTAGAATTTCTTCTTTGGTAGTTAATGGCTGTCTGGTAATAATAGAAACCAAGAATTTAGGGGTTATAAATGTGATGGCCAGTCTGTCCTTTGACTAATAAAATAGTTTGAGCCAAATGCTTTCCTTTTGTCTCCATTTACTGATCTATTGATAATAACCTACAAATATTAATTTTAAAGAATAAAACAGTGAAAAAGGATAGGGTAAAGTACAAAACTTTAACATAAATTATTTTTATTTTTATGAAGGAGGAAGAAAAGTCGAATGTTAATTAAGCATACAAACATTGGTTTATGTTTTCATTTACACCTTCTGCTCTTTTCCGAAGAAGAGAAACCAGTTGTAGTCTGATGGTCTTTCTGCCAAAATCCTCCTTCCTTGATCCTCAACAACAAAAAAATTTTGTTTGAAAGATTTTTTTAGTAGCAAGTTAAATGCTACAAGTTCTTTCAATTTCACAAAAGCATCAACCATTTCCTTTTTCATCTCATTTTTTTCCTGTGGCTTTTCATTTGTTTCTATTTGTCAGAACTATGACCATGATGATGATGATGATGATGCTCTTTAACTTCTTCACAGAATTTTAATCTTTTTGCTACCTGTCCTCTTCCCTGTGCATGTTACTCCCCCATATTTGTTTAGTGCTGCTACTCCTGCCGGTGCAAAGTTCCCTCTCATGGAGTAGGCTTTCTCCTTGGGACTGCTTTCTCCTCTTATCTGCTAAGTCAATACTGGATCTACAAGGTCCCAATTCCCACTTTCATGACTTAAATAAGATGAAAATCAGATGCTGAAAAACACTTAACCTCCTCTTCCTGAACACGCACTTCTTTTTTTCAGGTTTTAACTTAGGCTCTGAGAAACTGGAAGGGAAGAAAGAAGTCAAACAGGAATAGCCAGAAAGGGTAAAATAGAGAAAGATCATGTTAGAAGTGTTCAAATTTTTAATGTTTAAATTGCAAAAATTTCTAAAAGCAATAGAAATAATAGTCACATTAAGTGTATTTCATTGGCAATTCTAGAAATTTCGTAAGTGTTTAGAAAGTTTGGCAAAGTTTAATTTATTGCAAATCAGAAACTTTTTTATCTTGGACTTTTTTTTGGAAAAAAAAATGAAAAGAGTCATCATTAACGCTATGATGTTGTCAAGCTATGATTTGCAACCTGCAAATTGAGAGATGTGATCTAATCAGTTGTGCTGAACTCTAAGTAGTTTAAAGTGCTTCAGTGTTTCACATATTCCTATGAGATACATAACAAGAAATTCCCTCTTTTAACAAAAGGTAAGTTTAGGCAGAGTTTACGTCACCTGCCAAACCACATTGCTCATCAGTGGCAGAAGGTTTAGAACCAAATGTAGTTTACTCTGGGAGGCCAAGGCAGTAGGATTGCTTGAGGTCAGGAGTACAAGACCAGCCAGACGGAGCAACAGCAAGATCCTATCTCTACTAAAAATATAAAATAGAAAAAATTAGCTGTGCATGGTGGTGTGCACCTGTAGTCCCAGCTACTTGGGAGGCTGAGGCAGGAGGATCGCTTGAGCCCAGGAGTTTGAGGCTGCAGTGAGCTATGACGATGCCATTGCACTCTACCCAGGGTGATAGTTTGAGACTCTGTCTCAAAAAAATAAGTAAATAAATATAAATTAAAAAATAAAATAAAAACACGGCCTTGACATTTTAAATTAAAAAAAAAGAATAAAAAAAATTTTAAAAGAACCAAATGTACTTGACCCAGATCAGTGGAGTTTCCATTCTTCATTTCCTCACTCTTCTTGATACACATTCAAATAAGCTATAAGGACTAGTTGAAATTAGTCAAAAAGAGCGAATACTGAAACTCCCAGGTTGAGTACATTTATCACAACCCTCAATAATACCTTTATTATGTGCAATGCTCTCTGATATTTTATTCTATTCTATTCTGTTTCTTTATATTTCAGTCCATTACTAATGCATTCCAACTTTCAGTTTAGGAAATAATGAGTTAAAAAATAATAGTAAGTGTTCACATTTATGTAGTATTTACTATTATTGCTAGGTTCTGTTCTAAGCACTTTATATACGATAACTCATTTAACCCTCATACTAACCCAATGAAGTAATGGCTATTATTATCTCATTTTACAGATGAGGAAACTAGCACAGAGTTGTTCCCAAGATCACACAGCTAGATAAATCCTTCCCTTCAGATTATGAGAAAGGTTTTACTTGATTTTCAAATCTGAGTTCTAT